GTTACATTATCGCGGCATGCTGCATTGTAGCATGTTCCATCGTGGCGTGCTTCACGGAGGCATACTTCCACAGGGAGTGGCGTGCTTAATTGTGAAATGGTACGTCGTGGAAGGTTGCCTCCAGGGCTTCGTCATGGAAGGCTTCATCATGGTCTTCCTCAGGGTGGCGTGCTGCATCCTGCAGGCGTACCTCATCGATCTCGTCATCATCATGATCATCATCATCATCATCATCATCATCATCATCATCATCAGCACCGAAATCATCATCATCATCATCACCATCATCATCTTCCGCGTTATCGTCATCATCAACAACCACTTCGTATTCATCAGCAGCAGCACCTGAATCATTATCGTCAACCTCAGCACCACCATCATCACCTCGTCATCATCACCACCATCGCCCCGAATCATCATCATCATCAGCAGCAGCAGCATCATCACCATCACCATCACCATCATCAGAATCATCATCATCATCACCACCTTCACTATCACCATCATCTCTGTAATCGCCATTGCCTCGTCTGTCCTCGGCCCTGTACTGCCTGGCTTGAGTTGCTCTCCAGTCACCGTTGGCCATCATCATCATCATCATCGTCATCATCGTCATCATCGTCATCATCGTCATCATCGTCAGCATCATAATCAGCATCATAATCAGCATCGTCATCATCAGCATCATCACCATCATCATTTTCATGTTCTGCATCATCATCAGCAGCAGCATCATCACCACCATCACCACCGCCCCTACCATCATGATCGTCATCATCAGCAGAAACATCATCACAAACCACCACCACCACCACCAGCATCATCATCCCTCCTCATCATCATCGGCGTCACCATCATAATCAGCATAATCACCATCACCATCATCATCATCATCAGCAGCAGCATCATCATCAACATCATTATGAGCATGATCATCCTCATCGCCCCACGTCTCCCCGTCCCCTTCCTCCTCCTCCTCCTCCTCCTCCTCCTCTCCTCCTCCTCCTCCTCCTCCTCCTCCTCCTCCTCATCCTCCTCATCCTCCTCATCCTCCTCCCTCCTCCTCCTCCTCCTCCTCCACCTCCTCCTCCTCCTCCTCCTCCTCCTCCTCCCCGTCCTCCTCCTCATCCTCCTCCTCCTCCTCCTCTTTTTCCTCCTCATCCTCCTCCTCCTCCCCCTCCCCCTCGTCTGAAGGTTGGAGGACATCCTGTCGACCAGCTGTCCTTCGAGGGGAGGGGGCGGGAGGAGGGGGGGGGGCTGTGGCGCGCGCGCAAATCACGTCTCCACGTCGGCGCCGATGTATCCCAGAGGATGTCCAATACCTGAGCCGAGAGGGTAGCAGGGTAGATGGATAGAAGGACAGGAGCGGTCTTCACACACAGGGGACGGGGGGGCGGCTGGCGCGCGCGCGCAGATCACGCCTCCACGTCGGCGGCACTCGCAGAGGCGGAGGGGCCGGGGGCGCCAGGAGGCCGGCCAGGAGAGACGAGAGCGAGCGCTCAGGCAGAGCACGAGCGAGCGTGGGGCCACACGGGGACGAGAGAACGCGGGGGGGGGGGAGGACGGAGGGACGGGGAGCAGGCAGAGGGAGGGGGGAGGGAGGAGGGAGGGCGAGGAGGAGGGGGGCTCGCGGAGGGAGGGAGGGGCACGGAGGAGGGGGTACGGAGGAGGAGGGGCCGAGGAGGAAGGAGGAGGGAGGGGAATGAAGGGAAGGAGCGAGGAGGAGGAGGAGGAGGAGGAGGAGGAGCAGGGAATGCATTGAAGGAAGAAAAGGCCATGAAATCAAGGAGATCTCGTGGCCCCTGCCATGACATCCACACATCCCTGGCCATCGCCTCCCTTCTCGGACGCCTCCAGGGGCACCGCGGCAGCTCGAGGGAAGGGGGACTGGAGCGACATGAACCTCCCTGGGGGCTCGGGACAAGCTCTGCTTCCCAGACCGTCCCACCCACCGCGGGAGCAGGGACAGGAGGGACACCGCTCCTCTGGGAGCTCGCGCGGCTCGGGAGCGGCGCGCCCACGCGCGCCACGGTGGCCCAGGGCGCCCGGCGAGCCGAGAGGCGCGGCCGGCGGCCGCAAGAGCAGACGACCGCGTTCCACGACACAAACTAGTCGCAAGTGGCCTGGAGTCGCCGCGGGGGGTTCACGATGCATGTTACACAAAGGCGGACGTATGGCTTTTCGGACGGTTGCGAGTAGGCACCCTGGGAGTAGCGGGACGCGCTCGGCGGAAGAGGGAGCAGGGAGCACGGCAGGAGAGGCCGGAGTGCAAGATACGGCCACGTGGAACATGGACGGAGTCGCATGGAGCAGGCGCGGAAGAGGAGAAAGGACGGCCCAGCCGACGGGGGAGAGGGGGAGAGGGGCATCCTCCATCCTTCCCCCATCCTCCCCCCAACTCCTCCCATAACTCCTCGCCCCCCCTCCCCCCCGTGCTTCGCAGCAGCCCACATGCCCCCCAACGCCTGCAAGAGATCTCTGCACACCCATGCGATCCGATGGAACCCGGTTGAACATTATCAAAGCTCGTCGACCCGCATCGGCCTCGCCCCCTTCCACCTCGCACTCCTCCTCCTCCTCCTCCTCCTCCTCCTCCTCCTCCTCCTCCTCCTCTCCTCCTCCTCCTCCTCCTCCTCCTCCTCCTCCTCCTCCTCTTCCTCATCCTCCTCCTCCTCCTCCTCCTCCTCCTCCTCCTCCTCCTCCACCCCCCTCCTGTACCCCTCATCATCCTTCGTCGTCCCATCTTCCTCGTCTCATCATCACGGCCATCATCAGTATCGCAGTCGTCATCTGCTGCAGCACCACCACCATCCTAATCAGCAACATGATCAGAAGCATCATCATCATCATCATCATCATCATCATCATCATCATCATCAGCAGCAGCATCATCATCATCATCATCATCCTCATCCTCATCCTCATCCTCATCATCATCGTCGTCGTCGTCGTCATCATCACCATCATCATCAGCAGCAGAATCATCACCACGATCGTCATTAGCATGACGACCAATATCACAACCTCTATCCTCGGCAGCATCATGCTTCCCTCCCCATGTCCCCTCCTCATACTTCTCCTCCTCCTCCTCCTCCTCATCATCATCATCACCACCGTCGTCATTATCATCATCATCATCATCATCATCATCATCATCATCATCATCATCATCCTCATCCTCATCCTCATCCTCATCATCATCGTCGTCGTCATCATCACCATCATCATCAGCAGCAGAATCATCACCACAATCGTCATTAGCATGACGACCAATACCACAACCTCTATCCTCGGCAGCATCATGCTTCCCTCCCCATGTCCCCTCCTCATACTTCTCCTCCTCCTCCTCCTCATCATCATCATCATCATCACCACCGTCGTCATTATCATCATCATCATCATCATCATCATCATCATCATCAACTGCATCAGCATCATAATCATCATCAGCATCAACATCACCACCGTCACCCACAAACAGTACCACCACCACAACCGCCACCATCATCATCACCACCATCATCATCATCATCATAATCATAATCATCATCACCGTCTTAATCATCATCATTATCGTCATAATAATGATATCCGCCAGCGTTTGACTCCAAATAGATAGGAGGACAGGAGGAGGACGAGAGGAGGATGGGAGGAGGACGAAAGGAGGCTGGGAGCAGGACGGGAGGACGGGAGGAGCAAAATCAAGCAAGCGCAAGCAAGCAAGCGGAAGCAAGCAAGCACAAGAAAGCAATATCAAGCAAGCAAGAGCCAGCGATCAAGTGCAAGCAAACAAGGGCAAGCAAGAGCAAGCAAGCGAGAGCAAGCACGCAAGAGCAAGCAAGCAAGTGCCATTTGAAAAAGGAGGGGCCATTGGAAAACGAGGGGGTGCCATTGGAAAAAGGGGGGGTCCTAAAGACCAATTACTTATGATGAGCTAGGACTCCTATAGGGCAAGCCTATCCGAAGAATAATGATAAGAGTAATAAAAAATCCGAATCATCAGCATCATCTTAAAAAACCGTATTACTAATTAATAAGTAGCATCATCATCATCATCGCCATCATCATCAGCATCGTCATCGTCATCGTCATCGTCATCGCCATCATCAGTATCATCAGCAGCATCGTTATCGTCGTCATCATCATCACCACCACCATCAGGATCATCATCATAATCATCATCAGCATCACCATTAATATCAGCATCATCACAATCACCATAATCATCAGCATCAGCATCATCATCACCATCACCATCATCGTCATCATCATCAGCTTCATCATCATCATCATCAACATCATCACCACCACCACCACCACCACCATCATCATCATCATCATCATCGTCATCATCATCATCATCATCATCGTCATCGTCACCAGTATCATCCTCCTCATCCTCCTCCTCTGTCACCATCATACCTATATTCCTCCCTCTTCCATGTTCTCCCCTCCATGTTTCTCCATCTCTCCTCCTTGTTCCCTCCCTCCTCCATGTTCCTCCATGTTCCCTTCCCCGTCCTGCCCCCCCGTCTCCCAATCGCCCCCTCTCCCCATCACCGTCTCCACTCTTGTTCCCCCTCCCTTTGTTCCCTGCGCCCCCTCCCCCTCTCCCTCCCCCCCCCTCCCCTCCCCTCACCCTCCCCCTCCCTCCCTGCGCCCCCTCCCCTCCCCCTCTCCCTCCCCCTCCCCCTCTCAGCCTCCCTCCCCCTCTCCCTCCCCATCGCCCTTCTCCGCCCCTCCACCTCCCTCCCTCCGCCCCCCCTCCCGCAGAGAGAGCCCCGCGCCCCGGCGCCCGGGAGCCGCGCGCGCCTGGCCCTCCCGCAGCTGGAGCAGCCTGGCCTTCTGGTCCTCCACGGGCCCGCCGCCGCCAACGTCGCCGCCGAAGCCGCCGCCGTCGTCGTCGCCGCCGTCGTCGTCGTCGTCGCCGTCGTCGTCGTCATCGTCGTCGCCGCCGCTGCCGCCGCCGCCGTCGTCGTCGTCGCCGACGGTAGGTAGGA